TTAGGGTTGGGGGTGGAGGTGGGGGTTTGGTGTTTTTTCATTTGTTTGGGGTTTTGGGGGATGGGGGTGTTGGGTGATGGGTGGGTGGTTGTTCTAATTGTGACATTCATTTTACGTGGATGTCTAATGCAGTATTTCTAAATAGTCTTCTGGATTCTTGAAAGGGACTTTCTTTTTGAGGTGTTTCTTCTCCTTTTTTCCCTGCTTTCTGGTTTTTGATTGTTTTGTTTGTTAGGGTTGGGGGTTTTTTTCTGTTTCTTTGGGTTTGGGGTTGTTTGGGTTTTTGTAACTGCTTTTCATAATTTTCACTTACTTTTCTTTCTTGATATCTTTTGTTTCATACTTGTTTGACCTGATCCCACACAACAGTGCTAAATCCTATTGCACTGTGGTCTACAGAGCTACTAGAGCTAAGCTAGAGCTATAGAGAGCAGCTCTCTACTAATAATCTTGAAGAGGGCTCCATGCACCACTAAAGATTCAGTCTTTTTGTTCCAAAAGACAGTCATTTATCATATCCAAAAATGTGATCTCTACATCTCTTTTTGATAAGGCATTGATCCAGTCTATATGTGACTTCTCTAACCTCACATAACATTTCATGATTGATACTGTCACTTTGACCAAGTGGTCAGCATTGCAATCCTAGTATTACATTTTTATTATTAGACTCTGAAATTTCTTACCTGTGGAGATTCCATCACACGTTCCTTTTCCTGTAGTACTTTCATGCTCTTACACTTTGTATTATCCTTTTCATACTACCCTTCGGCTGTATGTCCTACACTGCCATTCTTACAAAGCTGTTAGCCTGACAATGCTACTGAGTATTCTTCTTCCACCAGGTTTCTGTACGTGTATTAGTTTGGGATGGTTCATTGATGACTTGTCTTCATTCCCCCTCTCAATTTTATGTTCCTAGCATTGGTGTGCTACACTTGAAAGTTTTGCTTAAGGATGTGCCAATAAATTTAATTTTGACCCTTCCTTATTAATCCTGATTGTACTTTTATCCCAACCCCCCACCCAGCGTTTTCTGAGGCACAGTGAATATTAGTTACATATGCCTCAGTGATGTGTCAGTCTGAACCAGGAGATGTTCCATGCTCCTTGGCTTTCCTCTGCTTTCTGTTCTAAAACCTTTTTAATTTCTATGCCAGCAGTTGGGATCTGTTACTGTTAAGATGCAGTCTGTCCTTCCCTGCACATGTTCTTCCTGTTCAAGAAGTTTTCCCAGTTCCTAAAATATCTAAGTCCCTTCCTACCTACACTGTTGTCTTGTCCTTTGAGGCTTGGGATCTCTTTATAAATGGTAAATATTTTCAGCTTTCAGAGCTACCCATGAATCTCAGATTCAGTGGACAGACCAGTGTAGGGGATGGCTGGAATATTGTTCTGGTGTTTTAGGCAGCTAAACATAGATTGTATCAGTCCTGCGAAACAAGAAGGTGTAAAGGTGTTACAGACTCCAGAATAGGTATCAAATATGTTTCAGCCAGACTAATGAAAAAGTCCATAACGTGAAAGGTATTATGCATTATAGGCAAAGTGGGACCAAATAACAGCAATAAATGGTAAAGCGGAATGAGGAAGAGACGTGTGATTGCTGTGTGGCTGGCGTAATGAATAGTTAGGTACACTGATGCATGACAGAGCGGTGCAGCTCAGAGTGAGCCCTCAAACTGGAGGAATCTTCTCTACAGACTGCATCAAACGTGTACAAGAAGCCAATAGAAAATTTCGTTCTCATATTTGAATACAGCATCAGACACAGCAAAAGGATTTTAATTTTCTTTGATCATATCTTCACCTGCAGAGCATATTCATTTTAATGTACAATCACGTTGATGAGATGGACATGAACATATTCTGGTATTTATTTTCTAATCTTCAAAAGTGATCTGTTCTTCCATCTTTCCTCACAATAAACTGATTGACGTAATTTTAAGGAATATAGATGTGATTTACTGGGGCCCTCAGGTATATCCCATAGCAATTCTTGTTTGATTGTGTAAGTATCTCATATAGTTCCTAAGTGACTGCAGTAAACCTTGTAAGCATTTAATCCTCCTGTGCTTATAGTTAATATAGTCTTCATATCAAAAATCAGACAAACTTCCAGGAATTATTTTGCTGTTATTTTAATCAAAAAAGCATATGTAAGACCAAAAAGGATGTCTCCAGGATAGTTCAAAATGTTGAAGACTAAAATGTAGATTACTTCTCAGGGAATTTAACTGTAATTAATGATAAATGGTTTCTTCTTTTCTTGTCAACAGGAAGATTCGGCTGACTGCGGTGGTGTCTCTGGTTTGAGTCCATCACTGTGGTCTATGGTAGGAATTCAGTTGGTCCTGCTCTGGCTGTTATCTGGCAGCAGACACTGCCAGTTATGACCTTGCTAAACCAAAACCTGCATAACTTATTCAAGACCCGGCCAAAACGATAGCCTCAGTTTTATTTAAAAAGGGTCAGCTATTCAGACAGCAGTGGAACAGCAGTGCTCGTGTCTGGTTATCACTCCTTGTGAGACTCATAAAGGCACCAACAGTGGCTGCATGTTGGAGTGTCAGATCCTTAAACGTGTGAATGCTGCATCATCTATGCCATCTGAACAGAATTCTGTACGTGCTCCATTGGGGAATCTAAGATTTTTTTTTTTTCATTTGTTTGTTGTTGTAATCTTGATGACTTCATGTAAAAGGGCTCCCCTGACAATAGCTTATGTATGTGATTTTCATTTCTTTTAAGCTTTGGATATCTTGAAGATTTATATTCTCTTACATGAACAGTTATTTAAAAAAAAAAACCACAACAACAAAAACAACAAGAAAAAAGGAAGCATACTCCCCAATAGACATTAGTAGCACCATGATGGCTGCTTTGAACATCAGTTTTGTCCAAACTACTGTAAAATGAAAATATTGGCTAGTCTTCATCAGAAGTTCAGCATGAGTGAAATGCTTTATGATGAGTGGCTTATTCTTGCAAAATGTATCATGTAGCCAGCTAAGTTTTGGTAGGTTGATAAATTGTTATCTGGAAGGAAGCAAGCAAGCAAGGAAACTTTGATTTTTAAAGATATAAAGGTGCTTGAGAGTTTGACTAAAAAGTGATTCTCATCTTAAACTTGGCGTCATCTTCTGTCAAAAATGTTAATTTCCATGTAATATTCACCTCCTTTTCACAATGCAGTTATATATAAAGCTAGTAGAATCCTTCAAAGGCTCAAACAAAAATGCTTGTGAATAAAAAATGTCTTTGTGATATTTGAACGTTGGTTTCCAAGGGTATTTTGCATGATGATGATGCTATGTTATCGTTTTTCAGTTTGTTTTCTTTGATGGTATAGTATAGTCCATTGAAAAGGTAACTGAGTGATTCTTTTATTGTGTGAGAAACTGAACATTGCAATGTGTCGCAATCAAATCATATTAAATTATATTACGAAACAGAGCTCTGAATATACTGTGCAATGAAAAAGCTGAGAAAAATAGGGTAAATTTAGCTATTGTAGCAAAAGAACTGAGTTGGATTTTTTACAGAATAGCGATCTCACATGAAAACCTTTGTACAGATATTTTAAGTATATAAAAATCAGATTTAACACATTTATTTTTGGAAGTATATGTTCTCTAAGGTTCATAGCAGGTTCCCCCTTTGTTTCTTTTATATAAAACCACCCATAATATTAAAACTTCTGCTGTTGCTATTTATTATTGAAGATAGCATATTTAACAGCAAAATGTCCTCATTGCTGAGATTGGAAAACATATAAACAAATGGGGAGCCTTGAATCTATATGTATGCACATTGATACTTGATTGTGAATAATAATTTTAGAAGTTGTTTTTATACAACCTCATTGGTGATACAGATTGGTGCAGTAAATCACAATATTACAGTGTAGCATAGTGTTGATGCAAAATATTATTTGTGCTTTTTTTCTAGTTTTCAGAACTAAACAGTATTGCAAGACAGCTAAACCAATGAATGTGCAACTCTGCTGGTATTGTACAATTCTGCTAACAAACTGCAATATGCAAATATTAACATGGCACAATACACTAGCTCTTTAAAAAAATAAGAAAATGCAAAGCATTGGTATGTATATGCTGATGATTGATATAATTTTGATCATGTCAAAAAGCTTAAAGAAATAATTGGGCATGCAGTAATATCCTATGAAAACTGAAGAAGCTACTCAAAGCCATGGCATGCTTAAAAGATCAGGTGTCTGCTGTGGTTGTTGTACCCATGGCTGGTTTGTTGTTTTGCTCATGTACCTTGGCTCCAGCTATGTTTTTTGGGGAATACAGTGACTGAAAAAAATAAAATCTGACCTTTTATTCAGTGGTCAGATTTAGCTTTTTTTAAAAGTATCTCTAGTAAAGTCATGGGGTTCAAGTACAATTAACTGTGTTGGATGATTTCATGTCCTCCTCAGGGCAGGTAGCTGATTTTGATAATATGGCTGAAGATAATCTTGGAGCTCTTCCTTCCAGTCATATTACTGCACTTCATCCTATCACCAGTTATCACCTGCAAAAAATTGATGTGAGTCTTTCTAATTGAGACCGCATCCTGTACTTTTCCTTAACATGATCAATTGAAATTTTACGGGAGGAACAAGTTTCAAAGGATTAGGCCAATACTTGCCACCCTCATAGCTTTTACTCTAAGCTTACTTAAAATACATATGAGTATGCATTTTGCTCTTGCAATTTCTTGAAAGATTGTCAGAATATTCTCTATAGTTTTCACTTAGTTTCCCAAAGAAACCCTTCATGGAAAAGTTACATTATTTAACATTTTGGAACAATTTGCTTATGCTGGTAAGCCATATTTTGAGTTACCTAATAAACATTTGATTGGAGTCTGTAGGCAGAAAGAAAGATGGCACAAAGCCATGCTGCCACAGAAAACAACCATGGCTTTTGTTCTCATCCCACGTCCCTTAGAGTGGTAAAACGCAAAAGGAGGGAGAAGCCCATGACATAGAGACACATTAACCTTCTTGAGTTCTTCCCTTTGAAGAGGGAAATGTCTCTTGTTCCTCTCCTCTGCCCCTCTATATGACCTGAAGAAACATGTTTCTGTATACACACTTGGCCTTCCAAACTTTATACCCCTTTGATAGAAAACTTAGGAGGCTCTGGCCCTCCCAGAAAGGCTTAGTACTGTCCCCATAAAACTCAATGCTTTAAAAAGGAAAAAAAATGAAATTTTGGCTTCTTTCTGCAGAAAACCATATATATTTTGATTTTTTAAAATGCACTACCTAGATATCTGCAAATTGCAAAACAGAAAATGGAATGTGAACTTTAGCTATCTCAAAATGTGAATACCAATCTGTTAAATAACTTGCATGAATAAATACATATTCTCATGCAGAAGAGTATCCTTACTGTCACATAATGCATAATAGTCATCTTCTTTTGTCTGTGAGAGAATAAACTCGATCCTAGGCTTTAAATTACATTTTCAAATTACAATATAATGTAAAAACTTTTATTTGTTGATATTTGCTCAGATCCTTTAAATAGCACTAAGGGAATGGATGGGACTGTTTCAGTTTGCACAGAAGTCATGCAGCCTATTGTATGTCTAGCAAATAACCACCATTAAAGTTGTTACAGCATGGTATTGTGCATAACATGAACCGAGGACTTAACATGAAAGGTTTCTTTCTAGTTTTTCATTTAAACAACCAGCATTACTGCCAAAACACTGACCGTGGTCCATATTTGTAACAGGTTTTTAACATGACATAGCAGGTTTGATTGACAAGATTTTTAGGTCCCGTACCTTTAAGACTTTAGTATGATCTTTTTCATGTTTCTAATGCTTGAGGCTTTACTGCTTAACTTGACAAAAAAAAACCAGTGTTGCTGCCATTTGTAAGTTTTCCTATAATATTCCTTTTACTAACTTAAAAACTGGCCTTACTGGGTTCAAATAGGCAGTATCCCTTTTAAGTGACCTTTGCAACCCAAGTGTTACTTGCTGTGGTTGAGAGTTTTTCCGTATCACTGAAACACTATTAAGACCTTTTGTTTCCATTAACACAAGCTCAGAAAACATCCTTAGTATGTCTTAATTTCAAAACACAACCTCAGTCCCACAGGTCCTAAAAAGTCAGTTGCGAGCACACTGGTTAGTAAGAAGTATATTATTGCCCACAAGGCACTGCAATGCACTTGGGTGTTTTTGGAATGTCGACTGAAGGTGAAATCTTAATAACTTTATTTAGGATAAGTTTTACCCTAGATTCATCGGACATCCAAGCCTTTAACAAAGGCCAGATTTTTTTTTTTTTATACCACAATGTTAATATTGTTAATACTCATTGTACACTACTGTAAAAAGATTAAAACAAAGTGTCTGAAAACAATTCAAGAGTTTTGAGAAGTTAGCCTCACCCTCTTCCCAGCTACTTGCATCTGTCCTGTTTATGGTTTAAAAGAAAAACATCATCTTGAAGAAATAATTTCACTGAGGCTAAAGGGATACTGTCTTGTTCAGATGCCATGAAATTGCGATTGTGATCTGACAAAGCTGTCTTCTTTTCTTGTGTTGTACGGAATGTCTGGATCATGCTTTCTGGGATATTTTTATTGAAATGCTCAGTGTGCGTTTCTGCAAAAGAAGACTTGATTGCTCTTACAGGGCAAGCAGGTCTTTCTCCCTTTTCTTGTGTTCTCTTGACACTTTTGTGGAACTTGACAAGCCTGGAAAAATAATTTTTTGTAAAAATTTGTACAATAATGTTATAAAAAGTTTATAATCCTAGAACTGTTGTGTTAATTCTTGTGCAAAAACAGTATATTCAGAATAAAAGTTTATCATTTAAAATCAACAACTACTTTGATAGTTCACTCTGTATAATAAAAACATGTAAATAAGAGCCTACATAATTTGCTATATAATACTTTGAGTTTGCTATATAATTGCACCCAAGTGCCTGAAAGAGAGATACTTTCCAATGTGGAGACAGTGATTTAAAACAGTTCTTGTTGGGGTTCAAAGGAGAATGTGCAGCAAACCCTCATTTCTGCTTCATTTGTGGCTGTGAAAAACTGAAAAAAAAAATTTGAAACCATCAAAAATCGAGTCTGTAAAGCACTCAGTAAAGTAATAGTCTGCAAAGCCTGTGAAGTAGCTGTGTTGTTCTGAAACAATTGCTTTTGGAAATATTGCCATTTACCGACTTGTAAACGTTGATGAAGTCCAAGGGTTCATTCACATGGAGAAGCAGAATAAAATCAGATGGCTCAGATGGGTGCTGCCCAAGTTGTTGCCTCACCTCTGACAAAGATTGCTTCATGATTTATGAATCAGATTCTGTACTACTGCCCTTCTCAGCTAATCATTAAATTCAAAGTGAATCTATGTACCTTACTAAATAGGCTTGTTCAGGAGGTGCTTCACTGGGCTTTCAGACTCACTGCGCCGGCACTGGCAATCTCCATCAGAAGGGCCGGGCAGATGGCTGCAAGTGGTAACGGCTTTAGAAGCCTCATTCTAATCCTTGACTGCCTATGTGGCAAAGCCCAGAGAAAATGGTAGTCATAAATTAGTGCTGAATTTACCGAATCCCTGAGGAGTCAAATAAGAGAGTAAGAAATAAAATGCAGATTCTAATGCTGCAAAGTCACAGATTGCCCATGTGGAAATGCTACAAGGCAGCACATGACACTGTGCATCAACATCCAGAGATTACTGGCCTCAACTAGATTAAACATTGCTGCCTAACTACATGATTGCCCCCACATGCTGAAGTCATTGTATCATGTTTGCTGTGTGCTGACTCCATTGAGATGTACAAATAAATAGAACCCAAAAATCCCTTCCTGGTACACTTTTAATTTAAATTCTGTATTAGAATACTCTAATCATTAAGTACCAGGAGCTGACACTCAGAAAACACAAGGTTTCTTCTCCAACTTGTGGAAGTCCGACAGTTTGATTTGGGAATGGCTGCACTGCAGTGAGGTATTCTGTACTAGTCCCTGGTGCAAATCAAGCCAGAATACAATTGGCCTGTCGTCTTGTGTTGTTTTGAGACATGACTTCACATTGTCCAATGCAGCCCTATTGCTGCTAACCATCTACAGAAATCAAGAAGTTATATAACACTGGCTTTATAAAATCACATCTACTAGCCCAGTGTTCCTTGTAATGCTTGAATGAACAAAATGTGCACCCTAAATGGTACAATATTGTCTCTGCCTGTTGCAAAAGACATTGAAAGCAGTATCTCCCTTTCCAGTAGGCTATTAGGAGCTTTTGTTCCCAAAATGTATATGGGGGAGGAGGGAAGGAAAATGAGACTTTTTCAGGAAAATGCTTTTCTCTCTAAATTCTAACTATTTCTTCTGAGTGTTTTATATTTATGTTTATTTCTCTCTTCTCCTGATTGAGAATATCATATTCTCAGAAGCTGACTGTTCCTTTTGAAACCTTGTCCAGAAACCCAAAAGCCTTTTAGTAAAGTGTTCCCTTTTAATAGAAAAAAACACACCTCACACCTATGTTTCTTTTGGGGTTTGAACTTCTTTTTCTTTGGATGTTACAAGCATTTTCTTGACTAGATCTCCAGTGTGCATCCCATGTTTTGTAGAACAGATATGTGAACTTATTAGTAAGTGTTTGCCTTGGGGAAATGGTAAAAATGTTTGTGATTTGTCTCACCTTACTGTAGTTGTCTACAATTAGTCATGAGTTCACTCTGCAGTGACAGGAGTTCAGGAGTTTGCTATGCTAGCTGCTGGTTATGCCCAGGCTTTGACCATCTGCCTTAATGATAGGAAGGTGGATTGTCAAAAAATAATTTTCTACTGCTGTTCTAGTGGTATGCCTTTTCAAAGGAATTACCACTTAAGGGAAGAGCCATTTTATCCATTAATTTCATGTTTGTTTGTTTGTTTGTTTTTCTGGGCTCTTAATGCTGCTATTTTCTGACAGCTATTTTGAGAAAGGAAATACGAAATGTAGGACCTCAGTAGTATTCACTTTTCAAGAAAATATTTTAATTATTTTTTCAGTCACTGAATTAGTTGTTTCATAAACTATAACATGTAGAATTGGGTATGGAAGCTATCTCAGAATTTCCATTTTAATTTTTGTTGCTTTAACCCAGACTCTTCTTGTAACCCAGACTCATGATCTCAGCCTCCATTCTGTGGCTTGATTATCAAAAATAAATCTTTGGAGCATTGCAATACAAACACACACACACACACAATATGGAAAAGGCAGTTAACATGCTTGGAACACTGACAGCACTGTGTTCTCATATCTCTGGTTAGCGTGTATAGTTGTAAGCTATTTTGAGAGTCCAAGCAATTAGTACTCACTATAGTAAGGGTTAGTCAGTTTGCCATATAAGCTCTTACGTCTTCAATAATCAGTTTTCTCTAAGAGAAAATTACAGGCAACTGAGGTTCAGCTCTGCCTGGAAAGATACCATAATACCTAATCTCAAATGGCCTGGAAATTAGGAACATTCTCCTGTCCTGCTTACCTGTAGCTTCCCAAAGGATAAAATACTTCCATATAATGGCAGGGTTTGCTTTTGAAATCTTTTGGGGATTCCAGTGTGGGAAATAACATGCATGAAAACTTTGAGAACCTGGGGTTAAATCAGGCAGTAGGATTCCCCAGGTGAGCACTAGGTTATTCCCCAGGTATCTGTGTTCCTAGGCTGCTCAGTGGAGATCCAAGCAATAGAGTCAGTGGAGGAGAGAGAACTATTCAGATGACCAGCCACTGGGGCTTTGTTTGCAGTTGCAATTGCACAAATAACACATTGAAATTGAGTCATGAGGATGACAGACAAAGTAGTGGAGATATATTAATTCAAAACTTGATTCTTCTGCTGGATCAAGCTATTTCTTAGGATCAGGGTCTGGGCTCATTAAATTCCACCTAAGGGAAGACAGATGTGAAATTTAGGCTCTCAGCTACTAGGGAATGATACAGACTTATGTCTGCTTTAACAGCCCTTGCTATGTAGACATAGCAGAACAGATGCCAAACTCCTGGTCCTGAGAGAGGTTTTATTTTGGTGGTTGTGGTTGGAGCACACCATGGGCCAGCACTGAATTCCTTCCAAAGTGGAGGGGAGGTCGTGGTGATGGTGAAGGGGATGTTACTCATCTTTGCACCGTGTGCTTCCACTTAAAGTACATGTCTCAAAAGTGTAAAATCTGTTTTTAATCTGTCTTTAATCTGAGGATATCTATGGGAGAGAGAATCTGAGTACTTACAAACAGGCAGCAATGAAATCTAACCTACAAGCTAGATGGCTCCCTTGAATGCCCTTGTCATCAGGCTGTTGAAGAAAGGTCTACAATAAGCAGAAAAGCAAGTAGCTTTAAAATTTACTTTTTTTTCTTTTTTAAAAATTGTTATCGCTTCATTGTAGCATGAGAAGAAATTGAGAGGTAGGTAGAACTTGAAAAATCTAGAGAGTTCTTGAAAGGCTGGTGAGTGAGCCGACCAGGGAAGGTGCCCTCCTGGACCTGATTCTTGTGAACAGGGAGGAGCTTGTGAGGGAGGTAAAGGTTGGAGGCCATCTAGGGTGCAGTGATCGTGAGAGGATTGAGTTTTTGATCCTTGGAGAAAGAAAGAGAGGGGTTGGTAAAACTGCCACCTCAGACTTCCAGAGGGCTAACTCTGACCTGTTCAAAAGATTGACTAACAAAATCCCTTGGGAGGCTGCCTTGAAGGATATGGGAGTCCAGGAAGGCTAGGCACACTTCCAAAGTCTTAAAGGCACAGGAGCAGGCTGTTCCCGTGTGCCGAAAAACAAGCAGGGGGTAAGGAGGCTGGCCTGGCTAAACAGGGACCATTGGCTGGATCTCAAGAACAAAAGGAGAACCGATTACCTTTGGAAGAGGGGGATGTCTCTCATGAAGACTGTAAAGGTGTAGTGAAGTTACGTAGGGAGAACATTAGGAGAGCCAAAGCACAGATAGAGCTCAGCTTGTCTACAGCTGTTAAGGATAATAAAAAATGTTTCTATAAATTCGTTAACAACAAAAGGAGGATTCGGGAAAATCTCCCTCCTTTACTGGATGCAGAGGGAAACATGGTAACTAAGGATGAGGAAAAGACTGAGGTGCTCCACGCCTACTTTGCCTCAGTCTTTAGCAGTGGAACTGGCTGTTCCCTGGACACCAGCCTCATGAGCTGGGAGATGGGGAGGGGAAGCAGATTGAGGTCAGCACAGGTGAAGAGGAGGTGGTCAGAGCCCTGCTACACTACTTGGATGCACACAACTCTGTGGGACCAGAGGGGTTACACCCAAGGGTGCTGAAAGAGTTGGCAGATGTGCTCGCCAAGCCGCTGTCCATGATTTACCTGAAATCATGGCTAACTGGGGAGGTCCCATTGGACTGGAGGGTGGCAAATGTGACACCCATCTACAAGAGAGGCAGAAAGGATGATCCAGAAAACCTTAGACCTGTCAGTTTGACCTCAGTGCCAGGGAAGGTTATGGAGCAGGTCATCTTGAGTGTGATTAAAAGTCATATAATGGACAATCAGGGGATCAGGCCCAGTCAGCAGGGGTTTATGAAAGGCAGGTCCTGGTTGACAAAATGGATCTCCTTCCATGACAGGGCGACCTGCTTATTGGATGAGGGAAAGGCTGTGGATGTTGTTTACCTTGTCTTTAGCAAGGCCTTTGACACCGTTTCCCACAGCATTCTCCTGCCGAAACTGGCTGCTCGAGGCTTGGATGGGCACACGCTTTGCTGGGTAAAAAACTGTCTGGATGGCCGGACCCAGAGAGTTGTGGTGAACGGAGTTAAATCCAGTTGGCGGCCGGTCACGAGTCCCCCAGGGCTCGGT